CAAGAGCCTGAAACATACGCTGTGCTAGTCTCGACTGGTCTAGAAGGAGTCTGTGATGTGGTTGAAAAGGAGGCTGCTGAAGAAAAAAATGATTGGCATTTTTAGTGCGCGTTCATACTTCGCAAACTGATCGCGAGCGATCCGTTCGCGAAGTATGGACACGCTTTTAGATACATATTCGCTACTGTGATATATGAATAGCGCGCATGAGTGAGCTTCGGACGATTGTGCGCTAGAGTTGGAGAGGACCTGAACTGAGGACATCCGCGCTTTTCTAGGTTTCAGGACCGGGATCACTATGTTGGTGAGGGGAAGAACTCAAACGACCGGAGCTGCCGTAGTCGCCTTGCTTTCTAGGTGTGGGCCCCCTCCAACTAAATTAGTGCCCGAGATTGTTACCTCGCCAACCTAAGGGTATCGAGCTATGAGAGTTTCGATAACTGCTAGATATGGTGCGCATTCAGTTCCAGTAGTATGGAACATCTCGGTGCAGAGCAGTCAAACCGTTCAAAGCTGCGACTTCTCGGGCGCTGTTCGGCTTAGGGGACGGGGAGCGGGAGGATGCACTTTCGCGAGTTTCTCTTGCCAGATTTTGTTAAATGACATGGGTCACTTTTGTGAGGCCTGTAGATTCACGCCATATGTGAGCAAGCTCATCCTATTGCACAGCTTTTTAGCTGCCCAGGTATTCATAGGAGGCATTGGTAGTGACCAAATTAATTAGCAAATGCCCCCTCTAAGCCGAACTGCGCCACTCCTGGAAATCCTATGCCAGAACTCAATCTTCTTATGGTTAGCCAGGATACTCCCATCCTGGAGCGCGACTCACACCTTTTAGACCCAACCTCCCCCTTTACTAGTATAGCACCAAAAATGGTTCAACAGCAGAAGCCAGAGGACCGAAAACTAACCACCGAAGGACAGTGGAGCTTGGGTTGTTGCTGATGACGTAGCCGGAGCTGCAGTTGAGAAGACTGAAATTTGATCAGTTAAACAGCAGAAGGAGAATATGATATCAAAATTAGTGGCAGGCAGCTAAAGTTCATGATTTTATGCAAATTTCTACAAGCTGCGAAAAAGACGAACTCTGAACTAGGTCTTGAGGAATCAGTGAGCGCATTCAAGACCCTTCTTTATAGCTCAATGAACGCTGACAACCTTGTTCGCTACTCAACGCAGAGAGGAACTTCCCTTTCCGCATTCATTCGCTCTTTCAACCCTCAGAAAAACTTTAGTGAAAACTTACGGGATTGTCCTGTTGTTCCCGTTGATGGAGCTGTTGAAATTGAGCTGGTGCCAAACATACTAAAAAGATACAATATTATGCACTTAAAATACTTTCAGAAAACGCAATAAAGTCCTTTTGAAGAAAAGGTTCCAAGCGGGGACGGTGAAGTTCCTTGAACATTCAACAGTGAAAAGCTCAAATCGGGACCATGACGTATTAAAGTGTGATTTCAAAAAAAAACCTCGTCATCGAAATTTTTGAAAGCTTGTTTAAAGGTACGAGTTGAGAAAAACAGGAGGCGGCGAAACTCGTCCGAGGAGGCGCGGCCTTTCCGTTGGTTCGCTGGCTGTTCTCTTCCGCACACTCCATATAGACCGCGTCGTACGTCGTGAAATCCCATTGGGGGATCGGAGAGTCGTATTTCCAAGAAATTTTTCTAATAGATAGTTTTCCCACGGACGCTATAAGGGGGTGTACTTGCTCGTGTGGACAGAGTGGGGGTCGTACTCACCTTTGAGAGAAATTTGCGGCGTTGGGAAGAGTTTCTCCCGGATGTTGGTTTTTCGCGATTTTTCCCGTTCCCATGTGCCATATATGCCCTCCTCTCCCCTCCCCCCCCCGCTCGACAGCAAAGTACTGGGGAAAAGCTAGAACCTTCGCGAAACTCCGGAAAACCCTGGAAAGGTGGTAGGTAGGATAGGAAAAGGTTGGTCGTATTTTCCGAAAATTTCCCAGAACGGCATGGCGTGTCCTGGTTGCTACGACGTGAATGAATCAGCGACAGCAATAAAAGCGGGGTACAGCATGCTTATTGGGGTGCTGCTGTTTCAAAGCTTCGTTTTCTAAACATTTCATTGTAGATACCGGAACACGTCGTACGTTGGGAATCCTGGGGTCGTATTTGGTCTCTGTAGTAGAGGATTTGCGGGAAGGATTTGTTCTGGCCCATAGACACAACCTATCCTTAACGCTTCATACCCCTACTATCGAAGCACTAGAAACGCACATGCGCTTCTGCACAAGACACCATATGGTTTTCTTCGACGGACCAACGTTTCTTCCAGTATGTCCTTTTAACTATCGACGGTTACGTGACATCTTGAACTTTTAGGCATTGTTCACAGTCTCCAGGCCCTGACGAAACGGCGGTTGGGAGAAAAGCAATAAATAGTCATCGATCGGAGAATCGCCCAACCGCCGCGGTTGGGCGGTTGGGCGAAAAGCAGTAGATGTGTATCGATTTCGCTGGCG